GGATCTGGCCACAGAGGGAAACGAAGAAAGAGCCTGTTTCCTGGTCATTGTACCTGAGGTCAGACTTGGCTCAGTGCCTCCAGGGAGGACCTGGGCTGGGGATGGAGGAGCTCTGTCCAGAAGGGGAAGGCAGGACACCCCAGCAGGGAGGGCAGGACGTCCCAGAAGGGGAAGGCCGGGCGCCCCAGCAGGGGGTGGGGGAGGTGGGGTGGAGCTGAGAACTGCCCTGTCGCCGTGGCGGCCCTCCTGGTCCTCACCGATGGCATCTCTCGGCACAGGCGTGAGTGTTGGGCTCACAGGGTCTCCCTGTCTGGTGTACGAGGAGCTGGGTGCCGACCTCAGGGAGAAGCAACATAGGCCGGCAGCCGAGCGCTGGGCTCTCTTTCCGCGGATTCGGTGTCCTGTTTTCCAGGGTGGCCTGCGCCCGTGTGGAGAAGCCCTCAGTCGGAAGGAAGGGTCTGGGTGAGTTACTTCAGTGCCAGCGCCCTAGGCCATGACTCAGGCGCTGCTCTGGGGTGCGGTGCCCACAGAGGGACTGCCATCCACGAGGACACGCTCCTCCCCAGAGCCTCGGTCCCAGAGCCGGAAGCAAACTGCTGCTCCCCTGAGGGTCGGGGAAGAAGGGCCGGGGCACTGAGGTCGGAGGAAAGAAACGGAGGGGCTTGGTGGCAGTTTTTACTTTTAATAAAGGAATTATCATAAGGATCATGCTATGGCCAGAGGAGCATAGCTGGGCTTCTGCTTCTGATCCAGGAGCAACGAAGCATGAGGCAGGGTGTGCTGAGAGAAACGTTCACGACTAGACCCAAGTCAGGGCGGAGGAAAACATGGAAAAACCAACTACTGCCCCACCCTCCCCCAAAAGAAAGGAAGAAACCAGAAAAGCAATACAGGAGCGAAGGCAGGTGATCCCAGGAGACGGAAGGAGGGGCCAAGGCTGAGAGCAAGCGGACAGCAGGGGCCATGGCACGAGCCAGGACGAGCCTGAGCAGGGACGGGCAGCCATCCGTGGCCGGAGCTCAGCCCACACAGAGCAGGAGGGGAGACCTCGGCGGGAGGGAACCCCGCCTCCGGCTCTCGGGGAGCCCCTCACGCTGCCATGGACAGGGGCATTGGGGGGGGGCATCTTTGGGCGCGGGGCGCGCTGCACCGAAGCCGAGGGTGGGTACTGTGCCCCCGGCCTGGAATAAGACTTCGCAGTGGATCTTCGCTGCACAGATTAGAAACAAGAAGACAAAAGGGCTTCCCCGTGTTTCCTTTTCATCATGCCGGACTTCTCCGGTCTGTTCCGAAGCTCATTGGAGGAAGTACGACAGGAGGAATTATCCACAGAAATCCAGCACGTTAGCAAGTTCCTGAGGCAGAATCGGTGCTTTTCTCGTTTCTTCCGCACGCCATGTCTGCTTCAGTGCTGGGCACAGCGGGGGCTGACACATTACCAAGAAGCGAGCTTCCTTCAGGAAACTGAAACTGTGCAGTGTCCACGCTGCCCACGCTGCCCACGCTGACCACACTGTCCACGCTGCCCACGTTGACCACGCTGACCACGCTGTCCACGCTGTCCACACTGTCCACACTGTCCACGCTGCCCACGCTGCCCACACTGTCCACGCTGTCCACACTGTCCACGCTGCCCATGCTGACCACACTGTCCACGCTGCCCACGCTGCCCACGCTGTCCACGCTGTCCACACTGTCCACATTGTCCACGCTATCCACGCTGTCCACGCTGTCCACATTGTCCACACTCTCCACACTGTCTACGCTGTCCACACTGTCCACATTGTCCACGCTGACCACGCTGTCCACATTGTCCACACTCTCCACACTGTCATCCACGCTGTCCACGCTGTCCACATTGTCCACACTCTCCACACTGTCTACGCTGTCCACACTGTCCACATTGTCCACGCTGACCACGCTGTCCACATTGTCCACACTCTCCACACTGTCTGCGCTGTCCACACTGTCCACACTGTCCACGCTGTCCACATTTTCCACACTGTCCACACTCTCCATGCTGTCCACACTGTCCACACTCTCCACACTGTCCACACTCTCCACACTGTCCACACTCTCCACACTGTCCACACTCTCCACACTGTCCACACTCTCCACACTGTCCACACTCTCCACACTGTCCACACTCTCCACACTGTCCACACTCTCCACACTGTCCACACTCTCCACACTGTCCACACTCTCCACACTGTCCACACTCTCCACACTGTCCACACTCTCCACACTGTCCACACTCTCCACACTGTCCACACTCTCCACACTGTCCACACTGTCCATACTCTCCATACTCTCCATGCTGTCCACACTGTCCACACTCTCCACACTGTCCACACTCTCCACACTGTCCACACTGTCCACGCTGTCCACATTTTCCACACTGTCCACACTCTCCATGCTGTCCACATTGTCCACACTGTCCACTCTC